ATTTGTATTACCCGTTTACCCGATTATTTTCGTGGATCATCAAGTGAGTCGATACTTTTTTTAGGGGTGTGTATATTAGAAAGAAAAAAAATCACGTACATTCCAAATTGGAACGGAGATTACTTTGCTAGAAAAAAAATCATAAAGATATAGTTACCATCAGAATGAAATATTTTTATGTATATAATATTGATGAGATCAAACCACCGAAAAAATCTTTAGATGATGAAGATGCTCCAAAGTGGCCTTTCTATATTGTAGTGTCTGGGAGATCAAACACTGGTAAGACCAATATGCTGTTAAACCTCTTTCTCGGGGATAAGTATTATGATATGAAAGAGGGGAAAAAGATAATTGGTGAACGTCCTATAAGGTGTAATGATATTGTATTAGTAGGGCACTATATTAATGAACCCAAATACCGATTACTTCGAAACTTCTATAAGAAAATAGCAGATCCTTCCAAACCGTACTATGAAGATGTTACTTTTACTGCATTTACACCTGATAAAATTCCAGATCTAAAGCAGTACAAAAATTCAAAAAGACGTACAGTATTCATTTTTGAGGATGTGTGTACTGAACCCCAGTCAATTCAAAATCGTATCATCCCATTTTTTACCAGAGGTCGCCATAGCAATATTTCCGCCATTTATAATACACATAAATTCACTCTACTCTCAAAAATTATTCGTGAAAATTCAAGCCATCTTGTAATATTTGATGGTGGAGGTTCAAAAGATGACATTCAATGAATTATTCGTCAATATATAGAGGAAGATCCATGCAAAGCTTCTAGAGTTATCAATAACTATTTGCGAAATCGTGAATTCATTGTCTTTGACACCACTATACCAATTTCCGATCCTATGTCCATCAGAGTCGGTTGGATGAATCCTCTGAACCTGGAAAAAGAGATCAAGTTATTGACTGCATAATAAGAAAATAAATTATGATTGAGATTTTTTAGTGGATTAACTCCGCTAAGCTTGAATAACTTATCTTTATCCTCTGCAATTGTAACTTTTTTTTCTTCGATTTCATGTAAAAAAGATGTCCAAGTTTAATCAAATAATAATATTTCTCCCACTATTTTTTTATATATAGAATATAGTATATAGTATATATCTTACTCGCCACTCTGTAGAGATGCACGTATCCAGCCAGTGTTGAAATTGAGGTAGATATATATTTCAGATAAAATGCACTCCTCCGTGGATTCAATCATTATTCTATCTGCCACTCATATTATTGAGCTGACCGATCCTGCCAGTATGAAGTTAGAGTGAATATTGAAAACAATGGTATTAATACAAGTCCATGTATTATTTCTAATATGGGGATTTTTGTGTCGAATGGAAATGGGTTGATATAGAAAAATTAAGAATAAAAAATAGCTATTAATCATCACGAAATAGCAGTGAATAAAAGTCTAAAGTACTAGCCCTCAAGGAATACTTTAGGTGGTTTTATTTTAAATAGATATATATGAATAAGTTATATAATAAATAGATATGTAAAATAGTTATATTCTGACAAAGTCTCGACAGCCATTATTAAGATATTGATCAGGATTCTCTACCCATTGTAGCATCACATACCAAGACCTACCACCAATTAATCTGTATCCATTTTGTTGCAATAAATTTACCACATAGTCGTATAGTCTGTAAGTTAAAAGTGACTTCTTGGATTCCGCCCACAATTTAGGACTATTAGAATGCCAAGATAAACGTTTAGACTTATAGTCAATATAATCATAACCAAAAGGACGATTTACCTTTTGAGGAGTTATGCCTAAAAACTTCTTATCATTGGGGTAATCATCCGTTTTTAAAGCGTTCCAAACTTGAGTGGCTAATGACTCAGGTCTATTCTTGTAATTTCTCCAGGCTCTTTGTATAATCCTTGCTTTTCCGAAATCGGTCTTTATCCCAATGACTGATCATCAAATCACTGGATACGAGATAATCAACATATCTTTGTCTAGTAAATGGAATGTTTTTTTAGGCTGTACATCATCGATTTTTATGAGTTTCCAGCAACCAAAACAAATAGCCATATGACTTTTGTGGATTCTTGGCCTATAATAATTGAAATTATTAAATTTACCTTTACCAAATGATGCAAATAAACATAGCTGGTGATATATACTAAATTTTCCAGCATTTAATAAATTCTGTAAAGGTACTCTCACCCGTATTGCCCATTGAACTGGCGTTTCATTCTGTTTTATGATAGATAAAGTATCAAACAATCTCTCATTATCGAAGAGTTCGTCGTATCGTTTTCCATCAAAAGCAAAATAATTTCCAATATATGACACGACATATTTCATATCATATCCAGGACAAATGTTAAAGGGTTTGGGTAATGTTCTATCTTTCTTATCGAGAATAATTGCAATATTGAAACCAGACATATTTATCAATTATAATTTATAGTGATTATATTATAAGACTTATTTCGATGTGATTATAGTGCGTTTTAACAATTATCTATTTTGTTGCGTATTTAGGGTTTAGACCTATTATTTTATCAATGATATCTATATGTATATCACGATTCATTTTTTGTTCGATATAATGATAGAACCAGGTTTATTTTTCGTGAAGAAAAAAATAATGATTCATAATTATTATTTAAGTCTTTGTTCCACGAGATTATTTCTGTGACACCGCTAAATTATTTTCTCACTATATATGAATTAATTAATAAAGCCTTTTCCTTACTGTAGATAGCTTTTCCGATAAGAAAAAAATACAAATGGGACCCAAAAAGGTTATGAATGAGGAGAGTTTATTGTTCTTTATCAGTAATAATATCAAAATTCATATGTTACGGAACTTGAGATCCGAGATCGCCAAAATTTCTTACTTTACACTTTGAATGAGAGATCGCCAGACTGGAAGGTTTAATTTCCCCATAAAAGGCGAAATATATTCAGTTCTTGGCTCTTGTGATTCTAATAGACCTGCCTTACGAAGAAAAGATCCGAGAAATGTCAGGATAACGTAATTACTAATCATCTATTTTTTCTTCTAGCAGGTTCTCAGATTTAGCGAATGGAACAATATAAATAAACTGGATTTGTGAGGCATCATTTCTTATCTTTTCGCAATTTTTATAAGGTAACGTGTTTGGTTTGCTGGTGTCCATTATGTGTTATTTGCAATAAGAGCTCTATCCATTGTAAATGAATTTTTACTTATTATAGAACTTTATATTAGGAAACGCAAAATGACCAATCCTATTAGTCTCAAGTGTTGTTTTCCAGATGGTAAATATTTTAATATTGAAATATGTAAGGAAGATAAGGTTACCACACTTAAAAAAGCGATTGAAGGTCTGTTGGTAAATCAAGGTCACCAAGAACTTTCTATTCATTTCAATCTCTACGCAATTATTCCTATGGAATCGACAGCCGAAGTTTCTGAATATTTCAATGCAACTCCTGATCCAAAACAAGTTCATGTTATCGTAAAACCAAAAAAATAATTATTTCTTATTAGCAACATGTAATAGTGATGTGATTTTTATTATTTGTATTTTCGAATTCAAGTAAATAGTAATATCAGCATAGAATCTCTTTCTGTCCTTTTTTCAACTGCTTTATATAAGAAAATAGATATAAAAAAATACATACAAAAATACAAATTTTTTAATTTTAAAAGGATTAATTGTGCAATGGCGAAGAAATTGTGGAGCTTAGTTTGACATTTCGGGGAGGATTCGAGTTAGCATGATTTAATGCTTGCATTAATAAATTCTTATTCACGATCAAAATATTCCTTAAGGTTAACAACAATCGTATAAGCGGTTTTAATTGTCGTGGTGATCTTGGTGTTAGGGGAATTTCTGCATGATCGACATGAAAATAGCGAGATAGACCACCCGCATCGTTTACTAGAACATTCAAATACACATCTGCTTCAGCAACCTGAATCCCCACTATACCAAATTGATTGCAAGGTCTGCATCCTAAATTAACAAAACTCATGCCATCCAATGTTTCTCGCCACAACTTTACTTCATCATTAGCTTTTTTTGTATCATTACAAACGATTCGAGAGCACTCTGCATATGTAAGTTCGTTGATTTTTCCTCCATACTTCATCAGTACCATGACATCAGGTTTTTTCCCAATCCGTTTTCCACTTACCTCACCAAGATTCCTTCGAAATTTGCTTGCCAAGCTCTGCCGTTCTGCCCTGTAATAAACATCAACTTTAAAGATCTTCATAATAAGGTCATTTCTTAGCTAAATATAAATTTTGCTTACGTGCTCAAACAAATTCTTCCGTTTGGCATATCCTCTAAACTAGCTCGAAGTAAAGGCATTATCACATCCACAATATAGGTCCCTTCACTTTGCTCTTTACGAGCTGTACTGTCTTCGAATGCAGGATTATTCCAGACCTCCCCGCTAAATGAGTAAAAGAAGAATAAGAAACCAATCATTAGTTAATCATCCAAGAAAACAAAATTACTTACAGAACACTCAGTATACGCTCAGCTCTTTTCTCTAATTTAGATACGTTTTCTTTCCAAGTCTTATCATGTACAATGTTTCTAGGTATATCTGTATTAATCGCCTCATTAAAATCACATACAAACTGCTCACACTTAGAAACAACCGACTCGGGTAATGTACATTTCATGTTTTCACACGGTTCCTAATAATAAATAAGAAAGTAAGAATACTAGGTATCATTTCACGGATATATTTGTGAATCAGATAAATTTACCATGAAAGCACGTTTTTGTCTCTTTCCTAATTTTTCCACTAAAACCGAATCATCACTTAAAACCATATTAGCTTCTGGATCTTGCCATGAAAGATCAAAAGGATTAATGTATTTCACCAAATTTTTTTTGAGGGCGTCATAAAGAGATACATCAGAATCAGTCTTGGGACTCTATATGGAAGGTGAAAAAGTGAGTATCTAAAAGTTTCAAATTGAGCAAGAACAAAAATATAAATTATGGATACCTACACTAAGGCTTGACTTTAATGCATTATAATTTTTTTCTATTTCTTCTCTCGTTTTATCCGGAGTGTCTTCTCTATCCTATTTGTTAATTTATATCAGAAAATATTAATACATCGAGCTTTGACTTTTTTAAGAACTTTTACCGATTATATAATATATTACCGTATTTAATGCTTTTAATACTCTCAAACCTACAATGCTTTTGTAAGCAACCATCATCTGCAACAGACGAAATTTGTTAGATTCGCGCGAAATATATATTATGTGCACATAATATGGTACCATTTTTCAGAAATTACATAGGCTTAGTGTTGCGGGCGAAACCATTTTTCAAAATCCGAAATGTTTCGCCCCAGTGAACTTCCTAGGAGTCCGAAACCCTAATTTTTTGTATATCAAATTGGGCGAAACTAGTTTCTCCCGCAACACTACATAGGCTACAAGCATTTGACAAAAAAGCCACGCACAGCCAGGGAAAATATTACCCTCGACATCTCGAGGCCCCCCTAAAGATGTCGCTCTTCCGGGTCGGCATCTCCCCAACTTTCAGCAGTGACCAGCAATGTGAACGAAGCTCATCTGTTGTAGTATCCATCATAATATTTACAAAATGTTTCTAATTAATTTGAGACTAACCTCTGGTAGAACTTCCAAGACTCTTGTTCTTCGCTCCGTATCGGTTATTTTCATTAAGGCCGAATTTACTGCACGATCTGCTAAAGTTCTGATGTCTTCATATCTACCCAAATTGTTGCCATTCATTGCCAGATAAACTACGTTCGCACCACAAACTGCATCTAAATGTCCAGTTAAAAAAAGATTTTCGATTTGGGATACTATGTTCGACATTATAAAAATGTTTTATAAAAATATATGGGTTTGAAAATGTTAATGCGCAAAAGATAAATCTCGAATAAAAAGCAATTAACATAAATAGATTCAAAATACCGCCCTTTTTAAATGTATTCGCCTATCTCTTTATATGTCTTCTTTCGGATCTAAAAAAAAGATAAAATAAAGCAATCTTTACGCCAAAAATTTTTCTCACAAAGAAAATTAATGTACATGAATGCTAATTAATCGAATTTGGTTAATCGCACAAATAAACATGCATAATTTATATAGTCGCACTACATATGCAAGTATTCCAAAATTTATGCAAACAAATATTATGTTTAAAAAATAAGAATTCGAATGATTCATTTTATTTAATGATTTAATCAAGCGAAATAAAATAAAGATACATGGATAAGGGCTGAGCCCATGATTCGGAGAATCGCCTATGGCCTGCTTTGCAATAATAATAAATAATATTGATTTCCTACGGTAGAGTTGCAAGGGAGGAAACGTACAGCCCCTAGACCATGAATATACGTCCCTATACTTTGGCTCTACCAGGTGAAAAAACTATTTATTATTACTATTATTATAATCTATTTCTTCCTCATCACTAATTTCATCGATATTATTATTATTGCTAGATGCTGATTTATTTTTGGATTTATTCTTTCCTTTAGTCTTGAGCTCGATCCAAGCTTTGATTGCTCCTATGGTCCTGGCGTCGGGTTTCGTTGTTTGATTATAATAATTTTCCACCGCTTTGTTCGATATAACCTTTATTTTCTTCTCCTTTCTAAGATCACTTGCAACTTCGGCAATCATATCGGCTTTAGAATAATCGTTTTCTCGCATGGTCTCGTCGAAAAGGTTTTTAAATTCCTGAAAGACTGGATCTGAAAACGAAGTACGTCTTGAACCTAATATGATACAAAAATATTAATTTACATGAGTCTCTCAAAGTAACAGATATTTATTTATACATTGAAATAGCGGAGCCTTTAGTATAACTAAAGATCTTACCTCGAGAACTACTTGAAAAATTGCTTGGATTATTACTTGAAAGATTACTTGAATTATTATTAGTTAAAGTATCTTCTTCCTGGAATCTTTGTTGGAACTCTTCATAAAACAAAGAAATTTTTTCGGTAAGATCATCTATTTTATTATAGATTTCATTAGATTCGTTTTTTCGTTTCTCTTTTAATAATTTGAATTCCATATCGATTTGTTGTTTGAATATATAGAAAACGAAGCATATGATGACAATGAATAGGTATATAAATAGTTTTTCTCCAAATATCAATGTTACGATGAGGATAAATATAGGGATTAAAATAAAATAACTCTCTAATGGCATTTTCGAGAGAGCTTCAAAAAATTCGATTGGTGTCATCTATGGAAAAATCAGTTAGTCTAATAATGTTACAAGAATACTACACCTCTAAATCTGATATAGGAGTCTTAACAAACCTTTGATTCAATAAATATAAGAATGATGTTTAATATGATTTGATTTTTTAACGTGGTTTTTAATCGATTTAATACGTTTTATTGATTTATTTATTAACATGTTTTTTGATTAATTGATTTAATACGTTTTATTTATTAACGTGGGTTTGATTGATTTAACAAATTTTTATTGTATTTATTCGAATGTTATAGTTATGAAGTAGAAAAATTATGCGAATTCGAATTTGAGCTGTTTTTATATGCATTCCAGAGTTTCTCCAGCGCGGATGATCAATCTGCTGTGGGTACACATTATTAAAGATATCAATAATCATTTGTTTTTTCGAATTGCACGGCCAGTTCATTAAAAATTTATCTACTATGGACGATCCGTTACCTTTGCCGATCTTAATTGTTTGTGAATTTATCTGATAGGTAAAATCGAAAACTTTGGCACATCTCATACGACGCACAGGCACTCATTCGATGTCAAAAAATAAGCTTAATCGTTTTTATACAACAACAATAGGTACCTCTTATTTATTCGTAAAAACGAGAAGATCTGGTGATCGCATAATATTACACGACATTAGATATTTTTTCTTGCCAAAGTGATCGGCGTAAATAATCCATTTTTATCTGCTATACATTCAATTTTTCTTCGAGATATTTTCTGAATTAAGTATATTATTTTATTATAACAAACATGATAAGTAATACTAATAATAAATCTGATCAAAGCGAAACTCTTGCTCAAGTATATGAAGTATTTTTATATAAGAAGGATATAATAGCAATTCAAGAAAAACTCGGTATTAATGGCAATGCAAATAATACAACAATATATCAAAGCAAAACAAAACACGAACCCGAAGGGGAAACACTTGTTGATTCATATAAGTTGTTATTACATTTGGTGGGAGATTTAATACCGATACAGGAAAATCTCAACATTGATGGCAACCCCATTCTGGCAGTGGAATATAATAATGTGGCAAATCAAAACAATAGAGGTTCTTCCGATTTATCACTTTCGAAATTATTTAATTTGCTTTTATGGTTGGAAGAGGATATAATGGCAATTCAGGAAGAACTTGGTATTGTCGGTTATACTAATCAAGAAATGGCAGAAGAAGCCGATAAAAATGCGAGGGTATACCTCCGAAAGTGAGAAATTCCACGGTCCCTTAGAAGATAATCCAGGTGTGCTAATAAAGAAATTTGTTGATAGGGGGGTAAAGAAATTTTGGTTTACTGGTGAGGGACTACCATTGTTTCCGAATGTCACTCTTCAACAATTGCATGAAATTTTCGTCAAAAAATCGGCTAGCGACAATCAGTGCCCATGTCTAGAATCGAAAGCAAAACAAGAAAATTATCACAGATGTATATACGACACAGCAAATAAAATTAGTATTATAACCAAAAATAACTCGGTAAATAATTACCCATTCTCCACTACTAAATATAATTATTTGTATACCATGATAGATTAGAATTAATCCCACCAATCTCTCTGATATAATTACTTAATGCAGAAATAAAATCTGTTCTATCTAATAATGGACCTCTAAGGATTAGAATAGGTGGATCAGAATTGGGCCGTTTATCATCTGAATAATCGGGATATTCGATTTTAATTTTTGGATTGAATTTTTTCATTACTTCTTCGCTAATCCCTTTACATCCCTTCAAACTAAGATATTTCAAATTATTACAGTTGCGGGTTATATCCTCGAGAGCTTTATTACTAATCGAGCAATCACCAAGCTCAAGATGTCTAAGCTTTGAGCATGAGCGAGCAATTTCAGTGATACATCGATTAGTGAGACATATACATGAATTAAGACTCAGATGTAATAGCTTTGGACAATATCTTGCAATTTCTATAATTGGTATGTTAGAGAAACCCTTACTTTTATCAAGAATAAGAGTGCGTATATCTGGACACGAGCGTAGAATCGTACTAATCAATACATCTGAGATTTTTAAACCTTCTAATCTGAGATATATCATCTTGGCGCAATAGAGTGGCTTTATTTTTCTACATATAACTCTTTCAAAGTTTATCAATCGCCGAGTAAGAACCCGAGACATATTTAAGGCACGCCGACTCTGCTTATAATCCTCGTTGAAAAACTCAACGCGACGCCATAGAATTGGAGCACCGCAGTGATACCAAAGGTGGTTGATAAATAAAGCAGGATAGAGGGATCGATCGATTTCTAAAAAATATAAGATCTGTTCTAGTAATTCTGGTAAATCAAAAATATTTAGACCCTTTGGGTCATTGTTCCGCAATAGTTGTGCCATTCTCAAGTTGTATATTATATATCTTTAATCGAAAAAACAGCTAATAATTACTAATTGCAGAAATAAAATCAGTTTCATCTGATATACGACTCAAAGAGCGGTCTCTAAAGGACCTGGTCTTCATCTGGGTCTGAAGCGTGATTAGTCCTCATCATCAGAAATTTCTCCATACAAATCGATGATATCCTCGACTTCATTTTCTTGCTTAGGTGCTGGAGTATTCGGTCTGTTATTCATTATACCATAATGATCTGATGCTTCTCGATTTATTTTGTGCCTTAATGCTAATTTACAAAGACGGTTACATTTAGAGCGAGTCTTACCTTCGTGGATTATAATAGCATGATCGGAACCTATTTTTCTTAAATACGATGAACTAATGTCATAGGGGATTAAAAAGTTATTAATCGGATGGACATTCACATCACCATCTTTATCTTTTATTAGAAATGGGAATTTTTGGGGAATTGATTTTTGGATCCAAATAAGTAATTATCTAGCCCGTAGTGGGTCTTTCTCCATTGATACAAGTGGCCTAGGCTCATCATCTTTATTTTTGGCATAGCCAGTGCAGTACCAAGAATATTTAGGATCATACCATTCTGCATTATTTGAATTATACTGGTCTATATGAAGATTTCTCACATCTGCTGGCCTCATACAAAGCATTACCATTATATCGATTAAATTTTGTATTGTAGGAGGATTAGCTGTGTCACATTTTTGAAGTCGTCCCTGTACTTTTTCTAGAGTAAAGAATTCAGGACAATCGTATCCTTCATCTTCACGAAGCTCTTGTCTTCTCACTTGTTCTTTATTTGATGCACGACTAATCTCTGAGTCATATATTGCTTCTAATGTAATGTAATTGGCATTGAGTTGGCGTAATTCTTTTCGAAGCAATTTAAGAAGTGAAGATTGGGCTATTTCAGTAGGGCCCGTTTTTGCTAAATTACGAGCCAATTCATTTATTTCTTCGGCTTCAAGATTACCTTCATTCTCCTTAATATACAAAGCAAGTTTTTTAACTGATTCCCTACCTGTAACACGTCTTCCAGAAGTTTGGACAGGAATTAAAGCATACGTTTGATCTTTACTAAATCCTAATTTCTGGATCCGATTTCGTGCATGATCACGGGCCTTTGCATCTTTCAAATTTTTAACCAATTCTTCAGCATAATTACCTAGTTCAGCTATGCTCATTTTGGGGGTTAAATTATAATAATCTATATATAATGTTGCAACTCTCGACATGATGTTAATGGGATAGTTTTGTGGATTATAACTATGGAAAATATTTTTTCAAATCGAAATTAATTATCCTGGGTCAGTATAATATACCCAAAAATTGAATGGGTCGTGGTTATAGTAATTCTATCGAGAAATGGATATGGATAAAATACGAGATCGATCAAAAGTCTTGGAATCCGTAGCTTTACGTAATAAAATTACAAAATATCAATGGGATCAAAGAGGATATAGCATTACTTAAAGAGGTTTTGGAAAAAATAATCGGTATATGTCAGGTGGCATTCTTACCTCAGCTACATGACTGAAATTTGCTTTACAGACATGGAGTGTTTATAGTTCGTGCCTAGAATCGGGTAAGTCAGGTATATGATTCTCAAGCATAACAATTTTTATATGCAATTCATCCTGCTTTTTTTGTTGATAATATTCTCTTTTTCGATACTTACTTGCATGATTCCGGCATGCACCATATTTAGAATAAGTTAGCTTACCACAACCATATTCTTTACAAGGAATCCGTGTAGGAGAATTTCGATGAAGTTTACATCCTTCTGGTTGATTACAACCTCGACCACAGACTTTACCAGTTCTAAGAATATAAGGACAACGATAGAGTCCCATATTTATTGTCAATAATAATGATATAGAATAATTAATTTCATTTTAAAGTTTTTCGGGTTAAGTATAATACTTTTAGTTTATAACTATATACTGCATATACAAACAACCTACAAATCAATAAAATGAGTTTGTCTAGTGAGGCAAAAAAACATCTTCGTGAATCATTACAACAACAGCGTCTAAATCAAAAATCGGCCGAATATAATGAAGCAAAAAGGCTTTTTACGGGTTTAACGGATCTTGATTATAAACCTGGTCATAGAGAACATACATTTTTTAAATACTGGCTTGCATCCAATGGCCATACTAATAAAAATGATACTGCACTTTTAGATGCATATCAACCTGAAGAAATTCATTCACAATATATAATTCGGATAGCAGGAAAAGGTTATACAGTGATCGATCATCCTAGCGAAGTTTATAGAATACCCGATACCCATGAATGTATCGATGGGAACCAACCCCTCCGCTTAATTATCGATATTGATGCAAGGCAAAAACCAGATCCTTCCGATCCTAAACTTCCTTCTCTAGATAGTGAAAAAATTAATTGTGGAGATTTGATATCTAGAATTTTAGTCGCTTGTACAGATGCATTAAGCCTTATTCCAGGATGTATACCTTTCTTAAATT